TCGTTATTTTTAAATGATATCATACACTTAAAATAGAAATCATGAGATAAATTAAAAAAAGACATAATGAATTGAAAGAATATTTCTCATTTCACTTGTATATTACATTAATATCTTATAATCTTTATGTATATAGTACAACCAATCACTGAGTTACAAATAATCATAAGAAAAAGAAAAACATTTAAAACTTTTGGGGGTTATGACATTTGTAATTTGAATCGTGCTATATGTACAATCTAGTTTGATAATATTGATCGACAATTTACACTTGACAACATCACATTCATTCATTTCAAAAACTGTTTTTTAAATCAATGGCTCGAATTTTGACAACATCAACATTGTTAATCATTGTTTTCAAGTATGATTATATAAATAGCATAATAGTTGTAATTTATGATTCCGATTACAGGAGGTGTGGACATCCGTAACACGTAATTTAAAACAATTTCGATGTTGCATAAATGATTTTGAAGAGCAGAGAAGATAATATATGAATTTCCAAAACAGGATTTGTATGGTTTTGTTTGAGAGAAAAAGATAAAGGATTTATGAAAAATAAAATATGTACACTAGGAATTTATATTGACTCGACCTAATTAAATAGCAAATTGAATTCAGGGATGACAAAATACATTACCTTGCTAGAAGTGTCAATCCAGGTGATCCAGACCCGGTCGGCCCGCCAACATATGAGCCCGATAATGACTTGCGTGAAAAAAAGTCTGCCCGCTATGGGTTCCGGGTCAGCTCACAAATTTTGGACTACAACCCAAGCCCACCCGCTGACTCATCCTGGTCGAGCCCATGCGGCTCGCGGTTTGTTCCTATTTGACCCGTATTATTGTATAAATAAAATTATAAAAATATAGAATTTTTCATATCCAAATTATTGTAGTATGAAAATGAAAAATATAGTCGTTATTGGGGCTCACATAAGAGATAGAAAAGTTGAATTTAAATGTTGATGTGATGAATAATGGTCATATTTTTCATTTTAATGAGATAATAATGTAGATCAAATAGAGACTTATAGCAAAAAAATATTGTTTTTTGTTAAATGTAAACTAACTTAACTAAAAATTGAACAAAATGATAAATTTATATTTATACCAAAAAATATTTACATAAAATTCAAATTTAATATTACATGAATTATTTATAACTTTGTAAAGTTAAACTTAACTTAAACAAATAACAATTAAATGCATTTTTAATTACTATTATCAAATATTTATAATATAAATACATCCCAACTAGGTTGTCACCTTCCCCCCCTTTTTTTCAAAAATTTTTTAAAACAAATTCACGGGCTGCGGGTTAATCGCGGCTCGTAAATGTGCAACTCGCGAAATCCGTAGGTCACACATCTTTGACCTGTGAACCTACCGCTCGGGTAACGGGTAGACCCGCGATTTCGGGTCGATCCGGGCCGATTTTCACGGGTCGGTCGGCCCAACCTGTTGATGTAAATAATTTTCTATTAAGGAATATTTAATATTTTTGCATTTTAAATTATAAAACCTAAAAAATCAAATATATTCACCAAAAAATCAAGATCAGGGCACCATCAAGATATTTTTTGTTTTTTTTATCTAATGTGACATCATGGGCATTCACGGAGAAGCCTCAAATTTAGAACATTAAAGCTAAATGTACATTTTTTGTTTTACATTGTTTTTTATCTCTCTTTTTTTTAAAAAAAAATTGTGTATGAAAAAAAAATGTTTTTTTTTTTTTTTTAAATGTCAAATGAAATGTTGTTACGTGACAATATCTAAACAATAATATAAAAGATGATATACACGTAGCATAATTGAATTTAGAATAGTAGGCTCGATTGAATTAATCTACTCAGGGAAACACAGACGGGGGAAAACTGACAAATGTGACGGTTTGTGATTCGTCTGTTTTTTTTTTTTTTTTTAAATTTCCATCTCCCAATGAATTGCTGCCAAGTGTATCTGTTTGCTAATTTCTGTCTATTTTCCCTATTCGTCTAGCATTGCTCGGCTCGATTATGAGTAGCAAGGAGGAAAGACAAAATGGCAGGTCAAGTTCACAGCTAAAACACAGAATACGTGCACACCAAAACAAAACTCCATTATTGGCAATTGTCGATACCCTTTTTGCATTTGTATTCTATTAAGGAATATTTAATATTTTTGCATTTTAAATTATAAAACCTAAAAATTCATTTATATTCACCAAAAAATCAAGATGAGGGCCCCATCAAGATAAATTTTTTTTTTTTTAAATTTAATGTGACATCATAGGCATTCACGGGGAAGCCTCAAATTTAGAACAATAAAGCTAAATGTACATTTTTTGTCTGACATTGTTTTTTTATCTCCTTCGTTTTAAAAAAAAAATTGTGTACGAAAAAAATGTTTTTTTTATTGTCAAATGATATGTTGTTACGTGACAATATCTAAACAATAATATAAAAAATGATGTACACGTAACATTATTGAATTTAGAATAGTAGGCTCAATTGAATTAATCTACTCAAACAGAGAAACACAGGGGAAAAAACAGACAAAAGTGGCATTTGTTATTCGTCTGGTTTTTTAAAAAAAATTCAATCTCCCAATGAATTGCTGCCAAGTGTATATGTTTGGTAATTTCTGTCCATTTTCCCTGTTTGTCTAGCGTTGCTCGGCTCGATTATGAATAGCAAGGAGGAAAGACAAAATGGCAAGTCAAGTTCACAGCTAAAAACAGAATACGTGCACACCAAAACAAAACTCCATTATTGGCAATTGTCGATACCCTTTTCATTTAGAACAATAAAATAAATAAAAACCATTTGCTGCAACCCATTCAATTAAATTTGGATTTTGGAGAATAAAAATTATAAATTCAAGTTTTGTCGATCTCATGCAAGTACTAAAATAACTTAGGGCTGACCTTGACATTTTGGGACCTTAGCCAACTTTATGGAACGTTGCAATACACTTTTGAGCTTATCTCATTAAAATATTTAGCCCCGTTTGATTCAAATTATTTTTTTCATTCTCATTCTTCTACTCATTTTCAACCACACATTCTTCAATAAAATAATATTTTTCATCACATCAATAATTTTTCCTTCTTTTTCAACCATATATTCTCTATCACATCAACAATAAAAAATGCTTTCTTACTCTCAAAATATGCACCAAACAAAGGCTTAAAGCATTAACATTATGGGAGAACCTTACCTACAATCATGCTACATTGACATGATTTTTGACATTTTGTCATATAACATTTTATCATTGGACTGTTTTAAATACAGTTAATTTTTTCATCAAATCTTTCGCTACCATCTCGAATTATTTCATTGTATCTGTTACATTTCTTCTGACAAAGTGACAATTCCTTCACCTATGACTATGAGGGCCTTTTGGCAATAGCCTATGCTGCCTATAGTCAAATTTCACTCATAATCAAACATAGGGTATGGAATTATTACACATAGTATTACGTTCACCATGTGCAATTCTATTAGATTCTAAGAGCGGGCTTTATCTACCAATTTCTCTTGGGAATAGACAAGTTTAGACGGAAATGGCACTTGAAAAGTCTGCCGGTGAAACCAATTTTTCCGTTGAAATTTACTATTTTCAACGGAAATTGAGCAATCGAAAAATCCGTGGGAATCCCCAATTTGTAATTTTTCGGATAGAAAATAAGGTCATTCGAAATTGCCTACGGACATTCTATCGTTGTTAGTTTCCGATGGCCATTGGTACAAAATGGTTAGTCAAAAAGGTTAATTTTTGTCATATTTTGATCGAAAATACGTCAATTTTGCCTCATTTTTGTGATGTTACAAATCTAATAAGAAATTTAAAATTCTAAATTCTTTAGAAAAATAAACTTCAATGAGCAAAATAAAACACGCACGCTGCCCAAACAAATTTTTGAGCCAATTACCAATATAGTTTTTTTATGCTATATATTAATTAACCGTTAAGATTCGCCTTGGTTTTGTGCCAAATAACGGTAACCTCATCCCAACGTCTATCTTTTTGACACTCGTAAAAATGGGCCTTCACATAATTATCATAATTTATTTATTCCCAATCTCTCTTTATTTTGGTCCTTTCATTTTTCTAGTTTGGTAAATGGATCATAGACGAAATGGACATGCATGTGCCTCCATCATTCAATCATGCTACATGTATAATAATGATAGACAAAATTGGTTAATAATCATGATTTGACATCATCACATTCATCCATTTCAAAAACTGTTTTAAATCAAGTGTCTATATTTTGCCACATCAAGCATTGTCAACAAAATTTGTCAATTATCATTGTACAAGTGGATTAATTCTCCATCACTGGAAACCATATGTAATTTAAAACATATGGAACAACTGGATAGAATAATACTAGTTGTACATACAAATGAAGTATCAAAAAAAGAGTAGAATTTTTTTTAAAAAAATTGGTTAAAGAAAAGAAATTCTGAATCAATCATATTACACCACATAAATCATTATGTATATGATGCACAACCAAGAAAGAAATTGTTACTAGCATCAACCATTAAATCACACGCGAATATTTTTATCAAAGATCATCTAAGAATTTAACTGTCCGAGTAATCTGTGTACATTAACATTAATACATCAATGAATCAACAATATTTTAACGTAAAAGAAAATTGGGACACTGTTGCCGTTTAAAGACAAAGAGGGTAGGGTAGTGTAGGGTAGGGTGGGGGACCATCTTTCTCCTGGATAAATCTAAACCACTTTACATCAAGTTCATGACAGCAGTGAGCCACGGGTCCCAACCAAAATCACTCGAGCAAAGTAGCATGTCCCACATTGACCGTGTAGAGAGAATGAATGGCAGCAGTTCACGGGTGGGCATGGCCATACCCATACTTGAGGGAATCAATAAACGCTGTGGCCTGTCGGTAAGGTGGTCCATTTGATAAAACGTAAAGAAAAAGATGAAAAATTCTCTCTTTTATTATACATGAAAATAGGGTAATTAAATTACGAATGCAGGTAGTTTTGGGATCCAATGGTGTTTTGCTCGAATTCCTTGATGGTAGGGGCCAGTTTTTTCATGTTGTCGTCGTAGACATAGGGGATTTTATCGAGCCATGTCGAGGTTTTTTTTGTGAACATAGGCAGGAGCTTGCGGCAAATCTCTTCGTGCACGGTGATCGTGTCGTGGTAGTGGTAATACCGAATTTTCGTTTCGGTCTTGTGCAATGTATCACCTGTTACGTTCTCGGACATGTGCACGCCAGTCGAATAGGCATTCCTTGCTTGTATCGCGTATTTGCGATCTCGTCTTATCCTTGTCCTCGAGTCCCGGAATAGCAGCTTCTCGAAACCCCATTGCCTGATAAAATAACAGAACAAGCACATTTTTTTCTTTATCGATCAATCCCAAAACAAACTGACAATGAATGGTAACAATAGTAATCTTAATTCACTAAAGAACAAAGTTATGTTTCTCGTCTTACGATTTAGAGAATGTTACAGAATAGGGATTGAATAAAGAATATGCACCAAAGAATTAATCTCAACAATTACAGAGCAAATTAATCGGATACCTGGAATAGTCCTGTGTGGAATCATTCAAGCACATGTTACTGGACATGGCGTTTTGCTCAATGGTGAATTGAGTGACATTGGAGAATTCTTGAAGCACTGATTGCAGAGTGTTCCCATTAGGAAGATAAATGTACTCATCAACGTCGAAAAAGAAGGTCCAATTTGCAGCAAATCGATGGCGGTGGAGGCAGTCATTCACCACCAAGAACTGGTTGTAATAGTAACCATCGTACTCAGCTTGAGCTCTGATATCCTGCAAAGTCACCCTCCCAGCTCTTATCCACGGCTCCAGCACCGACCTAACCTCGGCGGACACTCCGCCGGCGTCGTGGAACACAAAATGCGAGCTGGGCCCGAAGAACCAAGCGTGATAGGCCATCCATTCCCTCATTCTAGCAGCATTCAAGTTCCCATACAAAGAAGAACCGCAGTATAAGTACTCGTATTTATATGGTGGGCTATATTGGGACTCGTTGTAAGAGCCTGGTGCCTCCTCCATTGCGATGAATTTCTCGTACTTTAGAGGAGATTCGCCGTAGTAGGCGTAGAGCACCAGCTTGCCACCGCTATTATCTGCGTTAGGGTTTGAAGTAAACGTGCAATTCACCACCACCACGGTGTACACGCGGCCGTAGCCCCAGTCAGGGAGCATTTTGTAGGACTCAGCCATAATCGATGAGTTCCCGTTGTTGGGGATCCACTCACACTTGTACCATGGTTTGCCAAATACATGAATAGGTTTCGAAGCCAGACCCATCACCGCAAATGTCCGTGGGCCGCCGCGGTAGGCACTCATTTGGACAAAAAGCGCGGCGGCGATGCCATATGCATGGAAAGTACGCTTGTTGGGGTCAGCTGGCGGACTGGGTTTCACCTTCTTCTCCGCCAGCGCCTTCACACTACCACCGAAACCGACACTTCCAGGCCTTATCGGCAATGACTCAGAGGCGCCGGAGGTGGTGACTGAGCACCGATTAGTGGTGGAGATGAGGTTTTCGTAGTACGGCTGGAGGTTCCAGATGACCATTACAAGAGTAAGAGCCAGTAACGTTGCCACCACTGGCTTGGTCTCAAAGCAGAGGAACATTTTTCCGACTGGGCTGCCGGAGACGGCGGCCGGCGTTCCGTCTTTCCTCATAATTATCGACCGACAAAGATGTGTAACTATTGACCACTGCCTATTAGTCCGACGGCTTTCTGAGTGTCAGTGCCAATCGATTTGATAAAGATTTCGGGCACCTCTACTCTTTTTCTTTCCTTATGCCTTTACAACTATAACCTTAGATCTTCTCTTATTCACTTAAATGCCAATTTAATTAGTTCATTTACTCACCCAACTACTTTGTCCCATAATATGATAAATTGATAATTGATGTCTATGGCTGTCTATTTAACAATTCCTCGTAAATAAAATAAAAATTAGCATCCTTCAACTTATAACGAAATTGTAAATAAGTTAATAATTTTTTAATTTTTTTCGAATCAAAATCGTCAGCTATCTTTCATATTATTTTAAAATTGGTCGAGATGGATATTTTCTATTATTCGAATTATCAAAAAGTTCAATAAACGGGTAAACATGACAAGAATTATGATTCCTGTACGTGATCATCGCCCTGTCCCCGCCCCGTTTACCCAATTAGACAGGTGACTTGCACCCCATTATGGGGGGAGCTCCACGGGTTTCGGGTTGAACAAGTTTTTTTAACATCCTAAATTAAATTGGTTGTATGTCATAAATTTATCAATCATGCTATAAATACATTGTTTTTTTCCCAAATTTTGTACACGAAAATTTTTCTCCTATAATTGGCTGTTGCCAAAAACAGTTTTGGACAACAGCAAATCATAAGAAGACAACTATACAAAATGAGTAATGTTATTCATCCCCATTGGGGATGAAAACACAGTTTAGGTGACACTAATGTGGCATTAAATGATATGTGAAATTAAATAAGTCATTTAATTTCACCTTTAATTTCAGCCATCTGACTGTATTTTCATCCCCACTGGGGATGAATAACATTACTCATACAAAAGAGTAATGCTATTCATCCCCACTGGGGATGAAAACACAGTTTAGGTGGCTGTAATTTAATTTCACTTATCATTTAATGACACATTAGCGCCACTTAAACTGTGTTTTCATCCCCAGTGAGGATAAATAACATTACGCATACAAAAGAGTAATACTATTCATCCCCACTGGGGATGAAAACAATTACAGCCACCTAAACTGTGTTTTCATCCCCACTGAGGATGAATAACATCACTCGAAGAATTGTTCGAAATTTATCAGAGGCACCAACATGTCGTCCCAAGAAAATGTAATTCAGCTCGTGCCCCGGGGCACATCCAAGATGGCAAAGACAGTGCAAGGCTAGGCTTGCAAACCCAGTGTGGGGAGTTCGAATCACGGACAGAGCAGCTAAGTGTTGTAATACCCAAACCATGTGGTGGAGCAGTTTGGTGATGTAAATCCGGCGCAGGAGTAGAGATGGCAATTTTCCCCGCCCCGCCCCGTCCCCGCGAGGCCCCGGCCCGAACGGGTTGGCGGGGTGGGGCGGGGCGAGGTTCGCCGC